TATATATATATATATAATATTCTGTAACTGTAACTTCTGTCGGTGCTGTGCTTTTTTGGAAATCGAATTTCCCAGAGGAACCCACCCGAGGGATTAATAAAGTTCTAACTAATCTAATCTAATTTAAATATGGACTTTCACTTTTTGGCAAACACCAGTGTTGCATCCGCAGATTTGTCATTTTCACTGAATGGGTGTTTCTGTCGGCCAGTGTGCTGTTTAGTCAGGCTGTTTGCCTGACTAAACAGCCCATATATATTTTTTTTGCCCATATATATATATATATATATATATATATATATATATATAAGAGCTCCAATTAAAAAAAGAAAAATTAAAAAAAAGTTTCGTCTATTAATGCCAGGAAGAGAAGTCGGAAAACTTGCCAGTTGTTTAAGTTAACAAACTTATAAACATAACTCTGACATTCAGGCACAGAGAATCTAAAGAGTTATAATCAAGCAGCCTATTTATGTTTAAATTTGCATAACACAGTTTTAGTTTTTATTCTTTCAGCTGTAGTTCGGAGAGTATTTAATGGCCTGAGAGCAACCAAATAATTAATGCAACAACTTGATTCAAATGTAATATTAATGTCTACCTGGAATTTATATCCACACGTACAGAATGGGGATTGGGCATTAGAGGGTTTGTAAATATGGAGATAGAACAATCTTTGAAATTTCTTATGATGTATTCCAATAGTATTTAAGCACATGTGGTCTTAGTGTGGTGCTGGGGCTGAGTTGTGTTGGAATCTGTCTGTGGAGGGTGCTGGCCAGAAGTGTTTGTCTTCTGGTCTGGTGAAAAAATAAATGTGCTTCACTTTCAAAATGCCTTTTGGACTTGTTATTCAATCATTCTCCTCCTGGACTCCTCTACCCAGACCAGCTGTCTGTATGACGAACTCGGTCACCTATAACATCTCTAAGTTTCTGGCTTCAATCCTCAACCCGTAGGTAGGCAGCTCTAAACACCACATCCAAAACACCTTGGATTTTGTTGAGAAAGTGAGAGATGTCATTATGGAGGCAGATGAAACAATGGTCTCGTACGATGTTATATCTCTCTTCACTTGTGTTTCAGTCACGAGTGTTGGAGGTAGTTTGTAAGAGATTACAGGATGATTCCAACCTCAACAACAGGACCACTCTCAGCATCGACCAATTGTGTTTGCTTTTGGAACTGTGTCTTAATTCCACCTATTTCACATAAAATTGCAGTATTACAGGCAGAAACATGGGTGTGCCATGGGTTCCCCAGTTTCACCCATTGTGGCTAATTTGTACATGGTAGAAGTGTAAAAGAGGGCTTTGTTATCCTACCTGGAACACCACTAAGTCACTGGTTCAGATATGTGGATGACACCTCGGTGAAAATCAAATCTCAGGACGTACCACAATTCACGGATCACATTAACTCAGTGGACCAACA